GACTTGAACCCAGGTCTTCATAACTCCAAGTCTAGCTTTCAATGTACTATGCCAATGCTGCCTCTCTTACTAAGGATATATAAGATCAGAAAAAGTTAACTGATTAGTGAGAGTGAGTGGCAATAGATGGATGGCCTGAATGATACAATGGTAACCCTAGAGAAATGAAAAGAAATGGAAAGGCCTCCTGAGTATCAATAAATCTGCTATGGAGGATTTTTAGGAAATCATAGCCAAGAATCACACAGAATAAAAGAGTTGTGATCTGTACATGTGGAGAGAGTTTCCACTCTGTGAAATCACAGGTCTTTCAAAGCCTATCCAAAGGTCTATCAAAGTATCTTACATTTAAAATGTTCTATGTCTGAATTGATAGAACGCTGGTATTTCTGCCAGTAAACATCTCCATTGAGTAGGACCAAGGCTGATGTCTCCCCTAGTTTCCTCTCAGTTTACAGTGTTAGATTATAATTAGCATTTTTACTTATGTATTGTTAACACTTATTGAATGTCAGCAGATTCCAGTCTCTCAACAATGATTTACTTGCCTAATATAACTTTTAAAAAAAAAAAAAGGTCCATTTGGATAAAAATAAGGAAATTATATCTGATAGAAAAGTATTCCACATGTAGAAAAGAATTGACTTGGAATATCTTGGCATCTTAAAGAAGAATTGATATCAGGAAAAAAACAATTGTGTCAGAAAGATGTTAGTCATTTAAACAATGAAGTTAAACAAAACACAGTTAGAACCAACTTGGTTCATTTCCTAGCGTTCACAAACCCACACTTGAGAGTTCCAAATCTAGTGCAGGGGCCAAGTTAGCCCTGAAGTATGTAGTTTTCCATTTAACTATTCTTAGCATGGCTGTTTTTCTAGGTTTGCAAAGTTTAACTGTTCTCAATACAGCTTTTGCATCAATGAGAACTGTGTAGGATCAGAAAGAGAGAGAGGTATGTAATTATCTCTTTTTTTTCATTTCGAGTCAAATGAACAGAACAGTTCCAGAGAAATCTAAGCCCATTGGGGAAATTAGAGATCTTTGTAATTTGAAGAGAAAATTCAGGCAGACTTCAAATACTCCCACTAGAGAGGGAAGACTTTTCATACCTCTTGGTCATTTCATCTCTGTATAGAGCAAAGCACATTGGAAAATTAAAGCCCTTTTTGCATAGCCCCAAATATTTTGTAAGCATAGGGAATCGTGTGTGTGTGTAAATCAAAGCTCAAGTGGCCATTAAGATATACAAAATATTTTCTCAAACAAAAGTGGGAACTCCTTAAGGGAATCAAATGGTTTAGTGCTTTATTTCCCAACTTTTTAGAGCATGATCATCCCTATTTAATGTCAACAAATGCTGTGGACCCCAACACAAGAAAAAGTATTGCATATTGGCAAAAGGCTGCTCTGACTTTGGTAATATTTTTAAATGAATTTGTGTTTTATTCATAATAATAGTATATACATAATTTGAAAAACAGTGATGCATTTATGTGTGAGGTTTTTTTTTTTTTTAATGCGGTCAACAGAAGGTATTTTAGATTTGCTTTTGGATTCGTGACTCTGTGGTCTGCATGTTGGAACCATTGGTTTAGTGGTTTGACGGTTTGGCATTTCTCTCACCCTCCACTCCACCACCCCTTACTTGAGACTCCTTGCTTGCAATATGATTGGCTAGTGACTAGAACTGATTGATGAGTGAGGTAAAAGCCCATTGGGTCAACTCTCTGTAAAATGGTGTTGATGGTACAAACAATGCCACCAATAAAAAAAAAAATCCCTAGGCCACACAACTAACACAGAACCAAAATGGAATGAGTACATACTAGTGCCTGCAGGGTTATCAGCCCACCCACAAATACTTTTTCTTGCCCATGGAAATAATTTTGTTGCTGTCATGTAGAAGGCCACTAAACAAAGAGCTTTGGTTTTTTCTAACCACAATATGGATCCATGTAGACAAAGCTTAAATGGAGTCTGAGACAAGGACTATAGTTTCCCTAGTAGGTTGAAAAGGACAGCAATTTCACTGTGGGGGTTTGACTAAGTTGCTGTCTATTCATTTTAAACATAAGTGTTTTTTTACAATGTTTTCCTAATAGATTATTCATGTGAAAATGTTTGCTACTCTGAAGGAGCTGTAACTTTGTCATCTGTTTAAAAGATGTTTGTGTTTGTTTTTTTTTATTTGAAAAGAACACATTACCCACCACATTTTTTAAAACCCAGCACATATATAACCAAATGCTAAATAAATCATATCTTTTAACAATTGCCTGAACAGATGTTTGCAATTATTAAATATAGCCAAAAAGAAGAAACAATTAAATTAAACCAGTAATAAGGATCATGAGCATGAGAGGCATGAGGAGGACAGTCTAAGTGGTACTTTGGGCAAATCACTTGACCTTTCTGAGCCCCAGCTCCCTCATGAATCAAATAATGGATTTATTCACCAAAATAGAGTGGCCAGAAGCTATGAATGGTTTTCAAAGGAAAAGATGCATACTATCAACCACATTTTATCCAAATCACTACGAATAAGAGAAATCCAAATTAAGGCAACTCTGAAAGTGTCATCTCATCTATTAAACTATCAAAGATAACAAAAGAAAGAGTCACTGACAGAGGGGCTCTGGGAAGACAGGAACACTAAGATAATATTTTTAAATATACTATTTCTATTCCTATTTTTAAACTGTTTCATATATGCCTTTTGCTTTTACACCACAATTTCCCCCCTTAAATTTTTCCATCCCCTACCCTAAACACTTCTCTCTCTCTCTCTCACTCACACACATACAGACACACACACACACACACACACACACACACACACAACCTTCCTATGAGCTCTTTGAAAGCAAGGACTGTTGCTCTTTCCAGCATCCCTAGTGCTTAGCACAGTGCCTGGCATATAATAGACACTTAATAAATGTTTATTGACTAAAAGACTTTGTAATGCATCCAGGTGCACGTTGGATGGAGAACTGGACCTGGAATTCAAATTTGGTCTTAGGGATACACTAGCTATGTGACGCTGGGCAAGTCACTCACCCTCTGCCTCAGTTTCCTCATCTATATAATGGGATAGCAATAACATCTACCTCCCAAGCATATTGTAGGGATAAAATGAGATAACATTTATGAAGTTCTTTGCAAATTGTAAAGCACTTTATAAATGCTATTTTTTAAGACAAATCAAATATGTAAGTAAAACCAACTGACACATCCACCACGTCTGGCATAGTGTATATCACAGTAACAACTGCCATCCCCGCAGTCCTCTACCTTTCTTTAGAGAGGAGAGAGGTCTATTCTATCATCACTCCATCTCCCTTTCTCTGGACTGAAATCAGTCTTTACAATCAGAATTTTACTGCCTTTTAGTGGGGTTTCTGTTTACAATATTATTGTCATTGTGGGTACTGTTCTCTCAGTTTTGCTTATTTCTCACCAAATCACTTCATTCGAATCATTCTATGATTCTCAAGATCTTTCATATTCAGTGTTTCCTAAAGACAGTAGTATTCCATGCACATACCATTTTAACGCAGCTGTGAACCCTGTTAATTGATCCAATTCTTCTGGAAAGTAATTTTGAATTAAAGGGAAAAGACATTTAAGTGTTCCTGCCCTTTGACCTAGTTATTATAGGGGCATATATACTCAAGGAGGTCAAAGATAGAAACCAAGGTCTAATAAAACTGCAAAATATTTGTAGCAGCCTTTTTTTGTGGTAGGAAAGAAGTGGAAACGAAGTGGGTACCTATTTACTGAGGAATGGTGGAACAACTTGTGTGTTGTCATGGGAAGAGCAGTGTATTAGCAAATAGCAGAAAGGCATCAATAAAACTAAAGAAGAATGAAATTAAGATCCTTGACTAGATTATTTCTAAAGTCCTCCAAGCTCTACATCCCATGATTCTGAATACAAACTGGTATTAAATTTAGTCTAAATTTGATGTTGACTCTAGAAGTTGAGGGGAAGGGGCAACTAGGTGGCACAGTGGATAGAGCACCAGCCTTGGAGTCAGGAGGACCTGAGTTCAAATCCGGCCTCAGACACATAACACTTACTAGCTGTGTGACCATAGGCAAGTCACTTAACCCCATTGCCTCGGTGGGGGAAAAGTTGAGGGGAGAAAATAGAGAATTAAATCATGCCAGCTATATTTTCATATAGGTTAGTACTATTGATGAGCCTGAGTTAGACTGTGCAAATAAAGTTACCTAATTGTGCTTAAAATCCTAAGTGGGTTACTGATCATTTCCCTAAATTCAGAACACATACAGTGTTGTTCTTTGTATAGTAAATCTTAAAAATTGCTTGTTATGGTTTGCCTAAGAGCCTTTTAGTTTTCTGCTTGGAGGTTATCTCGGGGGGGGGGGGGGGGGGTGTTAGTTTATTTGGTTTTTGTTTTTTTGTTTTGTTTTTCCAGGACAATAAATCAACTTATTTTATCTGTGCTCCTACCTAACACCATGTATTGAATATTGTACTGTATATTGAATATTATAGGCCCTTAATAAATTTTTGGAAGAATTAATTAATTAATATGGGAATTATATTGAAACCAAATTGGGATTTAGAAAAAAGAGGGAGGGAGGGAGAGAGAGGGAGTGAGAGAGAGAGAGAGAGAGAGAGAGAGAGAGGTTTGTAATGATCTGCTTTTCTCATCCCTTATCCACACACATATGTCTGTGCACGCATACGCCCATGTACACAGAGGCCTGCACACACTTACATACACACAGACTTTTCCATCTCTTCCTCCCCCTATGTCTGAACTGCAAAAGCCATTTGGTGCTGTTCTGAATTTCTAACTCCCAAGTTCAGTTAGACTCCTGGCTGAGTTCAGACTCCTCCGTGGGTAACATATTTTACAGCCCTCTAGGGATGATGTGAGAATAATTTGGTGGTAATTAGTCACAGAGATGGATGTCTCCGTCAGTAGGTGCTCTGTTTGAACTGTACATCTTTCTTTTTTTGTCAGATTGTTGGCTGTGACCACCAGCTGGGAAGCACCATCAAGGAAGATAACTGTGGAGTCTGCAATGGAGATGGTTCCACCTGCCGGCTGGTCAGAGGGCAGCACAAATCGCAGCTCTCAGCAACCAAACGTAAGCTGGGGACTTGACCTTCACTAGGATGGAACCTCTGGGTGCTTGCCTAGCAGTGTACTTTCTCCTGGTCTGTGGCAGATGTTAAGATACAGCTGAGAACAAAATGGGAAATGAAACTAACAGATACTTGGGAGAACCCTGTTCTCCACTAAACAAGGGCCTAGTTTGGTAAAACTTGGGAAGGCTAAGACTACCAGACCAAATGAGATGAAGGGAATAAGCATTTGTACAAGCCTACTATGTACCAGACATTGTGCTAAGCACTTTACAAACATTATTTCAGTTGATCAAAGGAAAAAAGTACCTATTCTTCTCCCTCCATGGATCAATGCTAAAGAAGCCAACTTTACCAGTGGAAGACTTAGCTTTGCTCCATTCTGTTCTATCCCATCCCATCTCATCCCATCTCATCCCATTCTATCCTATCTTGTCCTATCCTATCCTATCCTATTCTATTTTATCCTATGCACACCATAGGTGGATGATAGCCCAACTCTCATCTGTGGTTCCAAGAACCTGCAGCATGTTACACTCTGGCAAACCATCTTGGCAGATGGCCTAAACCAGATTGAGGGTAATCAACAAGCCTGAAACCCATCAGTGACTTAGGGGGATGTCTACCCCAAGCATGTGAAGATTTCTGGTGGAATGGGAAGGTGAAGATAATTTGTTGTAACAACTATGAAGGCAGCTGAAGCCGGCACTGTGGAGTGCCGAGAGCTTAATCAGACATCAGAGATGCCAAGGCCATGCACTGCATCCTGGATCACAGCCAGTTGTTCTGACTTTTATCTTGCCACTGGACTTCAATGACTCTGGAAGAGAGAGCGAAACTGACATCTTTGTGCAACTCTGCCTGGTCCTTACCAACAAAGGAACCCTGCTCCTTGGGGACAGCACCTTGTGATCACAAGATCCTCTTTCCACTCTGGAACTGCTGCCAGGAACTAGGGTTCTTGATCTTTTTCCACCTTGAAACTGTGACCAGGGCCGCTGTTCCCTTGTGACTGCAAGCACTCTTATCTGACCTGGAATTGGATAATAAGCAATGGAGTTGCCAAGCGGCACCCAGTCCTTCACCCAGTGCCAGCACAGGGATCTCCTGTCATATCTTTCTGACCAACTGTCCAATCTCCTTACTGTCTCTTGGTAGTGAGACCTCCCAGAGTTGCTGCCAGTGTTGCCACCCCATGAAGCTCTAGGCCAATCCCCACAGACCTCTCCTTCTGACATCCTAAGTTGTCTTGGGCTGGAAAAATGTCTCATTCCGACCTTCTGTTGGCCGTGCTGCTCCAGGATTCGATTTTATTATTTTAAAGTTGTTTGGAGGGGAATGTTAAGAGAGTTTGGCTAGAATGCTTCCTCTGCTCTGCTATCTTGGCTCTGCCCTCATACCCACGACCTCTTGAAGGAGCCCATTAGACTTTTGGACAGATCTAAGTCTTAGGAAATTTCCTCTGATCTGAGGGATCAACTCCTGTTATCCATTTTCATTCTGTCATTTTCAATGAGAAAGGTCATTCTCCTCTACACAGGAAACAGTAGCAAAATAAGAATTGAAAATCTCTGCCTTATCTCTGTTGTCATTTATTATCCCAATACACTCCATGCAGCAGTCTCATTCCTTCTTTGGTTTTCCTCTTTTCCTCAATATAGCAAAAAAAAAAATGAAAACCATATTAGTTTTCCTGTCAGTCTTAACTCATTCTAAGCTTTAGCACACCTGACATTACTTTTATAGGACCAAACTATACTCATAGTCATCCTCTTGCTTGTACTTTCTGTGTGTATCCTTTTTGTTTTGAGACTCAGTCTTCCTACCTTGCCCAGGCTGGATATAGAGTGGCTACTCATGGCCACTCCCATTGCTGATGGGTTTGGAAGCTTTAACCTGCTCCGTTTCCAGCTTAGGCTATTCTGACCCCTCCTTCATGGCTCCTGGCTCCCAAGAACTCACCATTATTGGTGCCAGGTTTAGCACAGATACCCAACCCACTTTAGCTCAGAAGTAATAAGCTCAAGCAATCCCACTGGACTCAGCCTCTCAAATAGTAGGGATTCAGGTGTGCAGCTATGCCCTGTTATGTGTATCTTTATTCTTTTACTTATAAATTGATTAGTGAGTTTTTTGTGCAACCACTGGTATCTTCAGACCACTCCAACAGAGCATAGATGTCACAATGAAAGGGCTTTGAAGGCCATCTTGTCCAACCCCACCATTTTATAGATTAGGTACCTGGGGCCAAGTAAGGTTGACTTTCCCAAAGTGACAAAAGACATTAATTAGTGAATCTAAGATTAAAACCAAGGTTGTGATTCCAAATTTCTATTATACTACTTTCTCACTGGAATTGTGCACATGTGCATCTTTAGAACATGTAGGCCCCTTTCTGAATTATCAACAGTGGGTAACCATTATCTCTTTTTACAGGTGTTATTGTATTCTAGATACTTGACATCTATCCAGGATGACAATGGACCTCTCTATGGTTATTTGCAGATTGACAATTGGGCATGAGACATGAACTCAAATAAATATGATACCATTTCAAATTTTTTTAAAGTCCATGGGCGGGGGTGAAAGGGAAATGAGTATTTTAAAGAAGAGATGACCTTTAGCTGGGGATGTTGGCATAGAGGACATGACCTCAAGCTCTACCTGTAACAAGTAGTTTAGTGTTCATTCTAAGTCCTATGGACAACACACGCAAATGCTTGGGGGCAGGAAAGAGCATTGTAAGAGTAGTAGTGGTAGTGCCATATAACCAGAACATAGAGTACAGGAAAGAGAATTAAGTGAAACAAAACTAGAAAAATATTAAGGACACGGATTATGGAGAGCCTGTCCTTAGTGTCAGGCTGTAGACACTGGGGCCACTGAAAGGTTTTGACCACAGAAGGAAACTGAGGTCCAGAAATTACCAAAAGTCATATCCAAAGGTGTCAAACATGTTGCCCAAGGACCAGCACACCTGCACAACTCCTAGGTGTAGCTCAAACCAGACTAAAATGATATTGGAAAATGTTTAATAAAATAAAGTACCTTAAAATGTAAATAATGTTAATTTGTGGTTTTCTAAGTCAGTATGCAATCCACAGATATTTGTTTCTATTTGAGACTGATACTACGCCACCACCACCTTAGACTTCCTGTTTGCAAATCCTATTGTGCTGATTGCGTCAAGCCTTAGAACAGTGCAGATGTTCCTGGAAGAGATCCGTAATCACTTCAAGGAGTTTAGTCTATCTATCCACATAGCAAAGTTCAAATGGATGAAGAATATCTATTGCCCATGTTTTAACATGGATTTGGGTAGATACCTTATAGAGCTTATCCTATAGTAAATACTTAGCATAGTGCCTGGCACATGGTAGATCCTTAATAAAAGTTTATTGATTGATTGATATGCATAAATCTACAGATATATCTATAACTATATAAAGAGATATCTATAGAGAGAGATCCTACAGCTCTATGTGGGACAGACAATACAGAGAGACAATGAGTTGGACCCAAGGAAGAACAGAACAAGCTACAATACTTTGGGGAAATTTCAAAGTCCCTTAACTGACCCCAAGCTTCTGAAAAGAGCCAAAGCCCATCTTTTCAATACTGACATTCTACCAGTGTTACTATATGGCAAAGAGACATGGAATACCTAGAATACCTAGAATACCTAGAAATGAGAGTAACACAGCAGGCAGGCACACGGTGAGTATGAGCAGGCTATCACATATAAGCAATGAAAAACTGTGAAGAAGAGAAATAGCCTGAAGGAATTGTGGGATAAGAAAGTAGATGGGCTAGTCACATGGCAAGAACAAAGAATGAACAAAGTACAAAAAGAGTAGTACTCATTCACCTCTAAGGTCCGATAGAGCTCTCATTCTCTTACTATTTCATCAAGTAAGAAGGTGGAATAGATCAGAGAGGGTCCAGTCTTCTTATCATTATTTGTTTTGTGGCATGTAAACTCAAGGCTCCTTAATTATATATTCATAGCATTGAACTCTATACTGTTCCCTGGGAACCTTTAAGTCAGACATTAATAAGGGTATCTTGCCTTTATATAAGACCTCCCACTCTAATTCTCTAATATTCCTGTGGTTCCATGCTTTCATCAATGGGAGCCCTCTCTCCAACCATGCAGACTGCAAACTACCCAATAGGCTGCATAGATACAACAATAACCACAAAGAAATTTCAATCCATCCCAACTTTCAAGCAGTTATTTTTTAAGTGGATAGTCTTCCTTTTTCCCTTATCCACCACCATGTCTGTCTTCTGCTCCATCTCTTCACTAGTCACGCAGGAGAATGAACCCTGAAGTACTAGCTCTGATATTCATAATGGGAGGTCATTTGTGAGTTTGGTGGCATGAAAAACTGAAACCAAGTTGGGCAGACTCAGAAGGAATAAACATTAAGCAGGCAGAGCATCAGAGAGCATCTTCTGGTCTGCAAATACCTAAATAAAGTGTATTGTAGTGGAGACCTTCAGTGGGTAAATTATATAATACAAAACCCGATGATTGCATATCATGATAAAATGCAATTGTTCCCCTTACCTTAGCCCTGTATGTCCTCAGGACCAAATGATTTATGCCAATAAAGCACAGCCTGAGCATAAAACACACCAAAATCTATAGCAGATGGCGAACAAGCCCACTCATTTATATTTCTTCCATGCTAGAAGACCCCTACGCCTCATATTTACAAACTGAGAAGTGACCCATGGGCAGGTTGGAGATTAGCCTGCCACGTGAATCTGATTGTATAAATATGCAGCTCACCATTCCAGGGGAATGTGCTCTGCTGTGTCCTTTCCTTCTGGTCTGCCAAAAGTCACCAAGAGCTTTGTTTTCTCCAAGCCTCAAGCACATTTCATGTTCCCCACATTGAATTCATTTTCTATCTGAACTTACAGAATTGTATTTTTTTCCCTTTGTGCTATCAGGCCACAGTGGAATACAGAAAGGAAAAAATGGGGAGGTGGG